TAAAAATATTTCCAAACTCTGAAACTCACCCTCTCAAATGATTAGTCCTTAATTAGTGCGGTTATCCATTAACGAGTTATTTGCTTAATTATGTGTTAATTTCATAGTACACGTCTTTATATTTCTTTAAATTTTTGCACGCAAGCAAACCATTTTAACCACACTAAATATACTTGCCTAATATCGAGTTTTCAACTTACATAATTACATCTCTAAGAATTTAGGGTCCGTTTGCAGCAAATCAAACGTGTACAAAGGCTTGAAAATATCTTCCCATAACATTAAAGCCACTTCTTCATTCAGCATTTGGGAATCAACTGTCTCCTGAAATTTTTTAAACCCGGGAGGATTTTTCTGCTTTAGATCTGCCAATGTCATCTTTTTCTGGACTTGGCAGTTTCCCTGATGCACTTTTTCGGTTAGCACCCGTCCCACATCACTCATCTTGTGTTCTTGTTCTTCACCGTCGGATGAAAACCTCACTCTCTTTCTGAACATGGTGAAGCTCTGTCGGCGTAAATAGCTTGACGGTTGGTTGGATTTCAATTTTTCTCCCGTGCTCGGCTGCTTGGTACGGTCATTTGATTTGGTAATCTTTTTGAGAAAAAGAGACATCATTTAGCCCGATGTTGTCTTCCGCTTGGAGTCGAGAAGGCCAGAATTTGTGGAAAACAAATGCAATGAATCGTGTTGCTTGAACTATTTATAATGCTTGCGCACGTGATCTGACGCGAATAGCATCACGTGACTCTTAAGTGAGACGCATGGTCAACTTCAATCTTCCCTCTCGAGTGAAGAAGCGAGAGGACCCTGAGAACGAGGTTGATGCACCGCCGATGAAGGCTGGTTAGTAGCCTGCCATTTTCACCTCCGTAAGTGCTGACGAAAAATCGTACAGTTGATGATATGCCATCGAAAATATTTGTTTGACAGCCAATCACTAGGCTGGGTACTAGATTAGCCAATTACTTGTTTTGAGTGGAATGGAATGAGTATAATTTACCAGTAACGGGTTCATACGTACGCCGGACTCGATTTCATTTTCAGTTCCTGCGCACTTCGTAGAAAGCCTGAACACGTTTTGGAAGATTATTTCTCAATCTTACGCGTGACGTGACGAAACAAAATGACGTCCACGATATATTAGCCGCTAGGAGAGAAAATATTTGTTTGAAGTCATGACGTTTAGCGTAGTTTGTACTCTTATCGACACGTCATCACGTCATCACGTGGTCAAAATGATGTGGACTCACGAGGCGAAGCTGAGTGAAAATCGGTTATCCCCAGCTTTACGTGCAATTTCACCCTTCGTATCTCGAACCTCCCGCTAACTCGAAGCAATTTTTATTTTCCTTCGGATCATTTATTGTGGCAACAGGTGACAAATCAGAAAAAAACAGTTTACTGCAGTCCAAAACATTTGCGTTGTGTCACGATTTCTGCAGTAATTTAATGTTCCATTTTCACTCGACTTCTCTAGAATTAAATTTGATTAAAAAGTATATTGCACGAATAAAAAAACAGCAAACACCGTTTTCCCTTGTTTTCGGTCCTTTGTTTTCAACTCGCAAGGCCTCCAACATTTTTCGATTTCCCTTGAAGGTTCGAGTTATCGAGGTTCGCCTGTTAATTTTTGGCCTTTTGTTATCTCAAGTTTGTTACTGGGATACCTGGGGTAGCCCAGTCATAAAATGCCTTTGTTTGTTTGTCGTCTTTTTTTTTGTTTTTACTGGGATACCTGTGGTAGCCCAGTCATAAAATGCCTTTGTTTTTTTGTCGTCTTTTTTTTTTTTTTTGTTTTTGTTTTTTTCCTCCGCCACAAAATGGAAAAATTGCGCAATAGTACCCAGAGGTCATTGGGCCCTCAACACCATGACAACTAACTGTGATCCAATGAGGGTGAAGATGTTCACATGCTGATCATGTGTTATCTTGATGATGATTGACGTTGTCATGCACGGACAGGTCCGGGTCACATGACGAGCACGAGATTTTCTTTTGTCGGTCGTTTTGTATTTCAACGTGTTTGGATTACGATCACCTGAAGTGTTATAGCGCAAACGCTCGAAATACTTACAGACGCATACACAAGTCGTATTGTTCGCGGCCAGTCCACACTAAAAGATGTTATTGAGCAGTAATTTTGGACCGGATTGAGTCGCGAACTGTGTATCCGTTGTAGTTTCTGGTGATTTCTGCCGTTTTAAGCTTGCTTTACCATCACTGTTATTCACATCATCTACTTTTATTACGTTGGTAAAATCTGTACAGACATCACACAAACCAACTCGCGCACAAAATAAGAAGAGTATATTGAAGGCTTGAAATTATATTACGATCGATTTTCATCAAGAAATGGGCCAGGAATTTTCCACAATAGTGCAAATAATCGTGAAGGCTGATCGAGGAAAAGCGATTGCGTGACGCTCGGTAAGCTGTAAGATGACATGTTATTATTTACCAGATGTAAAAACTCTTCAGATTCTCAGTCTGCATTTTGTACCCACTCTGCAGTCTCCAGTCTATATTTTGTATCCGGTCTGCTGTCTGCATTTTGTACTAACAGGTATCTGTGGCACCAATACAGTTTATTTTTGGTTACATTTCTTCGCACAACACACATAATCTACTACAAAATACCTGTGTGTGCGGTAATTCGACATTTTCGTTCTTTTCCACGTTAATACTCTTCTTTCCTTCTGTAAGAATGTAGACCACAAGTAATCCACCCACCCTACAAAAAATAACTCTTTCATGCATAGCATGCCTATGTTTTGAAATAGGTGTATGCCCTTAGCCAGACTTGAGCTCACTGTTTCAGTATACTAATCCGACACCCGTAGTATCACTACACTTGATTCCAAGGATCCAGTACCATCCAGGTATCCCAGTTACCCTGCTCACAGGGTCTAGTTTTTTTTGTTTTTTTTTGTTTTTTTCCTCCGCCACAAAATGGAAAAATTGCGCAATAGTACCCAGAGGTCATTAGGCCCTCAACACCATGACAACTAACTGTGATCCAATGAGGTGTTCACATGCTGATCACGTGTGCTATCTTGATGATGATTGACGTTGTCATGCACGGACAGGGCCGGGTCACATGATGAACACGAGATTTTTGCCCATAAAACTATTTGTCAGTCGTTTTGTATTTCAACGTAATTGGATTACGATTATCTGGAGCATTATGGGGCAAACGCTCAAAATACTTATAGACGCATACACAAGTCGTATTGTTCGCGGCCAATCCACACAAAAAGATGTTATTGAGCGGTAATTTTGGATCGGACAGAATCGCGAACGCTTGAAAGCCATGAAAGCATTGAAAGCCTTGTATGTCTTGTATGCCAAGTGTGCCAATGTCTTAGTTGAAAATGTAAACTCGTTGTAAAAAGCAAAATCTGAAATCTGAAACCAAACTGCATATACTCTATGCAATCTATTGAACAACACTAATACCGTGAGACTGAAGAACAAAATTCAAATGGATGCAAACTGCTAGTGAAGAAAGACGCCATGTTAGATTCACTTGATGCCAGGGAACGTAGCTACGATAACAGTGCGAATGGTATTAATTTCACGATTAGAAAGGTGAATCTTATGTTTGTTTTCATTGTAGTTGTATGGATATTCTTTTTTAATAAATACATGATCCAAAATCCCGTGTTTTTCGTGTATAATGTTATTATGTCAAGTATTGTCTACGCAATTGTCTTGTCACAGGCGACCCAAGGTCACGTTTCGAGAAAGAGCCAACGATTAATTCACGAACGCGTCACGCGTTGTGTGACTCAAGAGTAATTTATTCTAGGAACCGTTGAAAATTTGAACACGTTATAAGGAATAGTATAGGGAATGAAATGTGGTCGATTTACAACGATAAATATTTCGAGATATGAAGATTTTTCTCGAAAAATCAATAAAACTTAATCATACCCTGTGTATCCGTTGTAGTTTCTGGCGATTGTTGCCGTTTTAAGCTTGCTTTACCATCACTATTATTCACGTCATCTACTTTTATTACATTGGTAAAACCTGTACAGACATCACACCAACCAACTCGCGCGCAAAGTAAGAAGACTATGTTGAAGGCTTGAAATTATATTACGATCGATTTTCATCAAGAAATGGGCCAGGAATTTTCCACAATAGTGCAAATAATCGTGAAGGCTGATCGCGGAAAAGCGATTGCGTGACGCTCGGTAAGCTGTAAGATGACATGTTATTATATACCAGACGTAAAAACTCTTCAGATTCTCAGTCTGCATTTTGTACCCACTCTGCAGTCTATATTTTGTATCCGGTCTGCAGTCTGCTGTCTACATTTTGTACTAACAGGTATCCGTGGCACAAATACAGTTTATTTTTGGTTACATTTATTCGCACAACACACATAATCTACCACAAAATACCTGTGCGTGAGGTAATTTGACATTTTCATTCTTTCCGGCGTTAATAATCTTCTTTCCTTTTGTAAGAATGTAGACCACTTACAATGTTTCAAGTAATCCACCCACACTAGAAAAAATATCTCTTGTATGCATAGCATGCCTATGTTTTGAGACAGGTGTATGCCCTTGGCCAGACTTGAGCTCACTATTTCAGTATACTAGTCCGCCACGCGTAGTATCACTACACTTGATTCCACGGATCCAGTACCATCCAGGTATCCCAGTTACCCTGCTCACAGGGTCTAGTTACTGGGATACCTGTGGTAGCCCAGTCATAAAATGCCTTTGTTTGTTTGTCTTTTTTTTTGAGTCTTTGTTCAAAGTTTAAGACATTGAGAAGGCTTTCATTACCGCCAAACGTTGTTTTTAATTCAACACATACCTTGCACATTGAGACTCTTGCCTCTAAAAGAAAATGATGTTCTAGAGATAAAAAAAAACAGCTTCCTTCCTTTTTCTTAGTTTCTGTTATGATTATGGTTCTTTTTAAATGCTTTGCCACCAAAGTCCAATTTTAGCACTATAATTCAGAATAAAACCCCACTAAAATCCCCGTCCATAATCATCGACTTAAAAAGGCTTCTATTTCCTTCATGATTACACTAGTTTCCGCTAAGCACGTGGTATTCTGCTTTTGATCTCGCTTGACAACAGTTTCAAGATTGGCATGCGCAGAAGGGTTGGCACCAAGTTTGTTTAGACTCCCAAACAAGTCCAAAGGACCTTGGGATGCTGGTAATTTTGACAGTCCTTTTAGAACATCGTACGCAAACTTGCTATAGTGGGCAGTTGAAGAGATGATAAGGGGTCGATGAGGATTTGCAAAGCGATCCGCTACGTCTTTAGCCACTGCTGTGTGAGGATCAAAGATGTAGTTATTTTCTTCATAGGTCGATTTTATCACATCCAGACACCTCTTTTCTGTAGTCCAATCCGCTTTAAATACAGTTGACAAGTGGCTCCAAAGATCACCAGAAATCTGAAAGAAACGAAGAATATCAAAGATCTTAGGAACAAAGGTTTCCATGCAACAAAACCTGTGCTGCAAGCTGCCACCGTTTTGGTGATTGCGAGCAGGAAGAAAATATTTTGGCAACTCAGTTTACATTTGAGTCGTTAATCAGGCGGTTTGTGTTCGGCGGTCAGTGGTCACGTAGCAGGCTCGAACGTTTGAATTGCTAAGCGGAATAAAGGTCCAAAGTTAAAGTGGAAGAGATATGTGCAAACAGATTTATTATAATACTCCGCCGCCCTCTTTTATAAAAAAATTGGTGGTCGGATTATTTAGTCTTCAGACATTCCATTTAACTTAAAAGAGCAACAAAAGTTATTGATGTGACTCAAATTTTATCTCTGACGACCATTTCCTGATTTTAGGTTCGCAGAGGTTTATTTCATTCAATAAGCTAAAACTTGACATCTTTCTTTTGAAAAGTGTTCCGCCAAGCTCAGTAGCATCTTTCGTGCTCTTCCCAATTTGAATTTTCATCTATCGCATTTATCACTTCCTCGGAAACATCGACCAAATGCAGGGCAGCCATTTTGAAATCATCTCGCACGAGGTGAATACAGCAAGATATGAAACGGTGCTTGACCAGTTAGAGCGTGCGCATCCCCAATCATCGGAGCAATTATACTAATATATATTTAACATTTTGATTTGCTCTCATTACAATTCGATGTTTCACGTTCCCTGGCAATAATATATACCTTGACGAGCAACCAAACAAACAATGGAGGGGAGGGGAGGTTGGGGAAGATAGAATGAACTGAAGTAGTTCTGAAAGTAAACTTGGCGTTTTAGTTCGTTTTCAGATCTTTTACGGTAGCTGTTGGCTTCCCAAGATCTTCGCTTTACTTATTCATTCATTCACATAGTATTTTATTTTTATTTCCATTTCCTATTCACAATACTAATTCTGCTAACATGGCAATTTGTGTCAATACATAACTTGCAATACTACATCAAATAACGCTATTCGTTATCTTATCGAAATTTTGAAACAAATTTTTTTAAAATATAAATATTTGTATCAGTCATCGTGTGGAGTTCAAAAGCGTCAAGGGAAGTTCAATGAAGAGGACATAAGGTCTGTTTTCGTAAAATGTGGCAAAAATTAGTCTCCAGGGTAACGAGAAGTGACGTCATACGTACAATGCGGCTGATCATGTTTACACCGAATTACAGTAACGTCATAGAAAAGAAACGCCGTCTTTTTCCTTTTATTTCTTTCAATTTTATAATCGCTGAAAATCTTGAATCAACATATGATACTCTCTAGAGGTTAAAAATAATTTTTCGGCGAAAATTCTGAGTAAACTGTTCGGCTGCTGAACAAAACGTCACATTACCTTAACATCTATTCAAAGCAATCTTTTCCTCCTTGAAAACTGCTTCGCAACGGTTTGAAAATATCCTCCCACAGCTGTAAGGCAACCTCTTCCTCTAAGTCCTGCGATCCAAGGGCAATTTCGAATTCTTTAAACCCTGAAGGACGTCTCTTTCTTAATTCCATCAGTGTTTCCTTCCTCTCAGCTGGAGGGTTTTTGTCCACGGGCGTCATCAAACCGCGTTCTGACTTCTCTTTGAGCTGAAGACTACCTTCATCTGAGCTACTTGTTCCAGCAGTGATTGATTTTCCTTCAGCTTTGACAATGATGACATTTTCGCTTAGGTCGTAGCAAGGAAGTCGCCTGCCAAGACCACGGGTGAATTCTGTCGAAATGGTCACTTCGTTTGGGCGAGGAATAATCAACATGTCTCTCCTCCAGTTCTTACGATCGCTTGATTTGAACAATTTTGGCAGAAATTTGGACATCTTAAAGTAGCTGCTGTTTCTGATCTAGCGATGGCAAAGACTCAAGTGTACGTGTAATAGAAAAACAAGCTTTTATAAAGCAAAACGAGCATGTGTAGATGCACGTGCCAGCGATGGTTACACAACTCATAAAGACGGTTACGAATCGACATTGAAGACGCTTTTTAGCACATGCACATGGGGGAAAACGCTTTTAAAGACCAATGTGACACGTGCTGAAAAGCCTGCAAGTAAAGTGTATCGATTACATAACTATCTAGTACAAAATATTAACAAACTGAGAGAAATGGAAAGGCTTTATACAAGGATTTCCAGCCCTGAGAAAGGCCGTGACAACACACGTTTTAAAATACGATATTTTTTCATGTGTGTTTGATATCGCCAATCAGCTGCTGACACGTCACTCGCCTTTCGTGCCACTCGGTCTAGTTAATGAATGAACGGCAAAACCTTCACCATTCTTATCCATCGTTGTATGTCGAAATTTTCTCCGATTATGGCTGCTAAAACACTGAAAAATCCGTATCGCTTACAGACATTGACATTCACACTTCCCTTGAAGGGAAAGAAGACCGAAATATGAAAGAAAAACCGAAAGTTATGTAATTAGTGGCTTTGGTGATGGCATTTCTCGCGGCTGAGAAAGAAAATCGACAAACGGAAGATTTGCCACAAGTCGATTTTTGTCGTGTACCTTAAGGAATTCTTTTGTCGGTAAGGAAAAAAATAAATAAATGGAAATTTTGTTTATTGAAAATTACTCCCATACGTTGTTGTTTTTATAGCGATTCAACGCCTTTTTTCATCTTGAGCCTTAATGCTAACGCTCTCCACTGTTTTTATTCGGAGACTGTCGATCCTTTTACCGATTTTTCTCGTCAGCTAAGGGCTATTATTGTGTTTAGATAATAAACAAAAGAATACATGCTTTCTTTTAGATGAAGAGTTTCTCTTCTCGTGTCAACTCGACATCTCACTCGTTCGCTACACTCACATACATACATATATACATAACTTTATTTAGCAAAGCAGGTCAGGAATACGCAACATACAAGCTGATGTGGACCCACTATAAGTATAAATTAATGTAAAATCAAATTACTTAATATAATATAAATAAGTATCTATTTATTAAATATATATATACATATCATATAAACAATCAATACCAATAATAATAATCAGAGATTTTGTTGTAAATTTAAGAGCTTCCTTTCTCAAACTTAACATTCTTAATATCACGTTTTGACAATTTCAGTCGATTTTTTAAAAGCTCGATCGCTGCACTCACTCGTGAGCTATCGTGTTAAAAAAACTAGAAGAGAAATTCCATATCTACGCGCGCCTATGTATTATTCTCTATTTATTGGTTTTTGTCCGAGACACGGCATCAGGTTGTGACCTTATGCAAGCTGCTACAGATGTTGTATAAAACAGACATGATCCACGCGAAAGTCAAACTTATATGGATAGCCGCGCGGACTAGGGCTAGGAGGGGGATTGGTTTCTACATTGCATAAACCCCTCCCAATCCTTTGATTGGAAATGTCCATGATGACTCTCCTCGGAAATACTAAAAAAAAATGATCGTTATGATGAATTTACTCTAGTCACATACCTGAAAATGCTTATTTTCATCCAACGACTTCATCAACCCAGACACTTCTCGTCCAGTAACATGATAAAGTAATCTTTCCAAGTTGGACGACTTGAGAATGTCGATAGATGGAGAAAGGGTCTGTTGAATCCTTCGTTTACTCATGTCGTAAGAACCAGAGTGAAAGAAGTCTGTAAGAATGTTATTTTCGTTGGAAGCGCAGATCAGATTATTGAGAGGTATTCCCATTTCCTGTACACAATAAAGAGAAACATTTATGCCTTGAATTCTAGGAGACTTTCCTCTTTCTAATCTCACAAAACAGTTCAAATCATCATTTTCATTTTCCTATTCAATGGCAAAGATAATTGTTGTGTGGTTTCTGAAGTGTGCTTCTTATTTACTAACCTTTGCATAGTAGGCAGCCAGAATATTGCCAAAGTTTCCTGTTGGTACACACAAATCTGCCTCCTCGCCCATGGAGATAACTCCAGATTGAACAAGATCCAAATATGCCGAGGCATGATAAACAACTTGTGGTAATAATCTTCCCCAGTTTATAGAGTTCGCCGCACTCAGTTGTACACCATACGACTCTGCTAGTTTCTTGCTAAACGACATATTGTTAAAGATTGTCTTAATTGCAGTTTGGCAGAAGTCGAAGTCGCTTTTCACTCCGATCACGCGCATATTTTGACCATCAGACGAAACCATCAGCGCCTTTTGGATCGAACTGACACCTTCCTCTGGGTAGAGAATGAGGACATCAGTATCAAAGTTCTCTTTAAAACCCTCCAGCACCGCGCTACCCGTGTCTCCTGATGTGGCAACGAGAATGAGACGTTTAAGATCCTCATCAGAGGAACACGTTCGAGAGATAGCTTCGCTAAAAAACTGCGGTGTCAACTGCAAAGCCATGTCCTTAAAAGAGGCGGTAGGTCCATGGAATAGTTCTTGTAGATAGAACTGCTCGTTAAGTTTGACAACTGGGGCAACTCCTTCGTGTTGGAAATTACTGGAGTAAGCCTTGTAAACCATTTGGCGCAAACTTGACGGATGAAGTTCGCTTGGTGAAATCCATGTTTCTAGAATTCGCAAAGCTCTGTCTTGGTAGCTACAGTCTACAAGCCTTTCCCATTGACCTATAAAGCGGAAAGAAATCGAGAAATAATTGACTTTTCGTCTTGATACGATTGATCGTCGACATAATAATGGGATAGTGTTCACTTTCTCTCTTAGTATTATTATAAGTATTAAGCATTTTTCGATTGACTGTCGATCAAACGATCGAATTCCTTGAAGCGCGGGAAAACGTGGGTGACCAAGTTGGGACTGACTTTTCAGTTTTGAATCTGATTAGTTGTAAGGATAGCGCGAGTTTTGTTGACAAATCAAACGGCGATGTAAAACAAACTTAAGGAATGCTGCCTAACTTTCAATTAAAAATTACTGAATGATCTCACCTTCAGTAAAGTGTGGTATCTTTTTCTTGGGTACGTATAGTCCTCCGTCGGGCGCCAGTCCTTCTAACACCACTCGTAAAAATCCTGGACTGTCACCAGTGTCAGAGTGTTCCTGTCTTGTGCTTGTAAATCCCTGATCGATGCTTAACTCTGCCAAACTTGTCCGAACTTTGCTGGCAATTTCTTCGATGGAGTCTCCATTGGCACAGATGACACGAACGTCATAGCTAGATTCGTAAAACTGTTTACGATACTGAAGAATTTCATTCATACTAATACCTAAAAAGACAAAGATTGGACATCATAAAACACAAATATTTGAGAACAGTTGTTATTTATTGCCTACAGGGGGGGGAGGGTAGTTGGGATCACATAGCTTTCAGGGGGAATGAAGGGGAATCAGTCGTCGCTAACAGAGTATAATGGAAGGACCATGAAAGAGGAAGGGGGGAGGGAGGGTGTGTAATAATATGACAGAGCCCTTTCTTCTGGGGCATCAGGTAAATTTTGTTGTGACAAAATCAAAATCCTCCAAACCTCCCTTCCCCCCCTCCCCCCCTGCCCTTCCCCTCTCCTCTGGCAGCAAATAATGACCAGTCCCAAAAATTTATATCTGATTTCTTTTCTAAAATCTTTATATAACAGTTATTTAAAAGAACTTGCCACTATTGACCTGATAAACATTTCAGTCAACCCACCCACCCTGTGATCAAAGCATCAATTCTCTACACTGTCTACCACACATCCATTATAACTTTCACTCCAAGAATTTAACACTAAATTACACACTACCCCCGAATTGAATTCATCTGTTACCTTCATTCTGTCCAACAATCCTGTTTACTTTCATAGCAGCCAGACGATTCAATATCTCTTCATCTGCCACATCTAAGTACACAACAGTCCCAAGTGATCTGGTGTGATCCATGGCTGTTGCATGCATTGGATTGGACCCACTCAAAGACACAACAGCATTGTTGGGAAAGAACTGCAACAATGCTTGCCCCTCTGCTTCAACAAAACCATCAGAGCCCACTTGAGACAACTAGATGTCAAAAAAGTTTAAAATTCAATTTACACCCAAGAACAAGCATACTTTTCGAGAAAATGACAATTTGTTTTATGCTTTTATACTTGTGAATACCAACAACAAAACATGGCCCTACAGTGCTCCAAGTTCAAATGTTATTTAATTTATTTCTGTAGTGGATATTCTTCACAGCTGCAAGATATAATTTACCTTTTCTGCAACTGTCATTCCCCACACCTTCTCCAAGACATCATCATCAATATCAAGAACTTCCCTCTGCAAATGTCTCCCAAGGATTCTTCCAACAGAAGTTTTTCCTGCACCAGGACTTCCCATAAGAATAATATTGTCACCCTTGTGAAGTAACAGTGAAAATTGAAAATGGTTGTTTATTAGAAGCATCAAGTCAGTCTAACATATCCTGAGGGCAGTTAGGAGGAAAGTATAAGATGACAGGAAATTACTATGTGAGGCATGACACTGAGAAAGGACAGGCTTCACTTTTGCTAAGTGCCAAGATGCTGGTGCTGAGTTGTATGCAGTGTTAATTTGTATTGGGTAAGCTGGATTATACAAACAATTTGTTTGGTACTCAAGATCTATTGGAGGACTGATGCACAGATGATATCATCATGTTGCAGTGCATTTGTTCAAGAACAGATCACAACAGATGTCAAAAAGTGGTAACACTCAGTGACACACTCTTTTGTATGCCACTTTTTTGTTCTTACCACATTTTGACATCATATGGGATCTGCTATTGAACTGGTGTACCACAACATGGAATCTATATGTTGATTATCCCATAGAAGAGTTCTGGTGAAGTCTGATAAGCCCAGTACAATAGTTTTTTACTGCTAAAGCAACATCCTTGATACAACGGATCATGTGTACTCTAGGTGGCCTCGGTCGACATATCGGCCGACAGTCGACTATCGACCGATAGTCGGTCGATAGTCGGTCGATAGTCGACTGATAGTCGACCGATAGTCGACCGATATATCGACCGACTGACGGCCGATGCATCGGCCGATATGTAGCGATTAACTGCCAGTGAAGTATCGGTCAAGTATCGGCCAAGTATCGGCCAAGTTTCGGCCAAGTATCGGCCAAGTATCGGTCAAGTATCGGCCAAGTATCGGTCAAGTATCGGTCAAGCATCGGTCAAGTATCGGTTAAGTATCGGTCAAATATCGGTCGACTATCAACCGATAGTCGGTTGACTGTCGACCGACAGTCGGTCGACAAGTACCTTGACAGTCGACCGATATATCGGCCGATGTATCGGCCCACATGTCGACCGAGGCAACCTACAGTACATATGATCCGATACAACAACAACCAAAACATCCAAACTAATTACTATTCTACTTTATCTTATATCCAGACGTTTAGCTTTTCTGGATGAAAAAACCTTAGTTAAGATACAGTAGAATACTACTTCATCCATCCATCCCCTCCAGCCTCACTAATTAAGAAAACACCAGCCTCCCAGCCCTACTCCCCCTGCCCCCTGCCTCCCCCCTCCGTTAAACAGGAAAAAAAAACATAAACAAAGAGCGAGTCATGGACAAAGTATTGAGCGATTTTTTTTACCTTTGTCCTTCCGTCTTGCAGGGATCTTTTCTGTAAATTTACAAGATATTTCCATCTATTCTTTTCGAAGCAGCACATTGAGTGATTTTCTCGATTCCTGCTTGTAAAACAACCATTTGAAGAAAGAGCGCGTTCAAGTAGTCTATGTAAACCCATTCGTCGAAGACAAAAATCGTTCGCTCGGCACTTCATTCTGTGGAACATTTTGCTGATGGGGAATAAAATCTTAGAGTTAAATCTTGCTATAACGCATCGAAAAAGTGAAAATCAAGTCACTCAAGAGTCACGCGAACGTAACAGCTCACATCGTGTGGCCACGTGGAGAGGTTATATAATCAGTCGAGAGTAGTCTGGAATTCAGGGGTATATTTCATGCAAATTACAAACATCACAGCTTGGTTTCGTGCCGCTGGTTGTTAGCGGTCGCAATGATTTGCACATGGCTTCGAACCTTCGATCGGGTTAAAGACAAAGTCTGCTGAAACTTTGAAAATCGTTTATGATGCTCTTATCCTGGGTGCTAAAGCTGATGTTCGCGAAATCTTTGTCTCATCGGGATCAAGAAAAGTAGAATGCCGTCATCTAAGAAAGACTTGAGGCAAGCCTAATAATTTCATAATGATAGTTAGCTGTTGGATACGATGTTTTTGTTCAGCTGTAGATGTATAGAGTTTACCCAGTTCATGGAAGTACAACAATCATTGAGATCGGGGGTAAACCCGCTTATCCCAGAATTCTGGCGTAAATTGAGTGCGATATGCATGTAATCCGGCAGTCAGTTTGTTTGTTCATTACCTCTGCATCATTTTGGATCAATTCGTTGATAATGTTTACTACTTAAATAACGAATATGATGATTGTGATTGCTATAGAGGAAATTTATGGCTGTATCATGACTGGTATAGTTTATAGAATGGAGGATCTTTTCTGTACATTTTAATGTTACCTACTGCTTTATTTTTTACTCCTTGAAGCATGCATACAAACAAGGTAGGCCTCACTGGCCTTGCCTGGGATTTTTTATTAACTTATTTACTGCCCCTTCCCCCCCCCCTACTTCCACTTCCTCCCCCTCCACCTTTTTCTCTTTCCCCCTCCTTCTCTATCCTTCTCCTTCCCTCTCTCTCCTTCCCCCTGTTCCCTTTTCCTTCTCCTCCCTGCCCCCTTTCCCCTCCTTTCCTGTCTTTCCCTGTCCTTTGTAATTCCCTGTCCTTCTTCATAATTCCCTGTCCTTCCCCCTCATTTTCCATCCTTTCCCCTCCATCCCCTTCCTTCCATGTCCTTCCCCCTCCCTCCTCCTCCTTCCCCTCATTTCCTCTCCTTACCTTCCCTTCCCTGCTCCCTTCCCCCAACTCTGTTCTTTCTCCTCTTTCCCCTCCTTCCCCCTCCTTCCAACTCCTCCCTACCCCCCTTCTTCCTTCCCTCTTTCTTTCTTGTCATCCCCCTCCTTCCCCTTGTTCCCATTCCTTCCCCTCCCTGCCCCTTGCCCTCATTTTCTGTCCTTCCCCCTCCTTCCCCTCCTTTCCCCTCCTTTCCCCTCCTTCCCCCTCCTTCCCCCTCCTTTCCTTCCTTCTCAGTCCTTCCCCCTTCTCCCTCCTTCCAACATCTTACCACCACCCCTTTCTTCCCTCTCTTATCTTCCTTGTCATCCTCCTCCTTCCTCCTGTCCCCTCCTACCCCTGAGCCATTGGCACAAATTGGTTGAATTTTTGTACTGAGTTGTCCAATCATATTCAAGTTTGGTGATGTTATTCAACAGAACCAAGCTTGGCTTGTAGTTGGTGAGCTGTGGCTTACTGGCCCAATCTATTTTAGTGCAGAAATATTGATTTTATTATTTCAGCTTATTTTCTCTATATTTCGGAAAAAGTTTTAATAATCCCCATCATTTCCCACCTGTAGATCTCAGTGTCCTGTTGGCTTTGAAGCTGTGAATCTAGATGACACCAACAACTGTCCATTGCTGGAAGATGTTGTAACTGATCATGATAACTCTTCCCTTTGGCTAATGAAAGTACCCTATGATGTAAGTGTCCAATTCCATTTGCTCTGATGAAGTGCTAACACTTGTAACGTCAGCTTTGAAACTCTTAACAGTGGCCAATTTAGTTGATGATACCAAATTACCTTGTTAAACTCTCCCACTGACGCAACACTACAGTTTCTCAGAAACTTATCCCCTTAATTAAAGTATCCAACTTAGTTTTCTATCCCAAAATATGCTCCAATTGAGTGTCATAAAAAGCCAATAACCAAGAGCCAATAGCAAATAAAAACAAAGAAATATATCACAAGGAACCTATGAGAACTGAGGGTGAAAACAGGCCAATTGCCTTTAGTATAGGAAAACACACTTAACCAATACAAGTTGCACTTGGTTTAAGAGTATAATTTGATTGGTTGAGGAAGTAGGACAAGTTATCTGGACCAGTCACAAAGTGAAATCAAGCAAAACTTAAGAAACTCCAGATTATTTGATCTAAGACTGTTGTAATAATGACTGTGAATATATAATATCATACATGTGAACTGTGGATTAATAAATGGAGAGGAGAGAGATCTTTGCAATAATGAACACTATTTAATCTTCAAATCTTAACCTGCAGTTCTCATATATGAAATTCATATTTTCTTCGTCATCACAGGTAACTTAATGACCCAACCTAATTCATTATTTCAAACTAACAAAATGACCAGCTCCCAGTTGGTATATTAGCTCAGTTGGTAAGGCATTGCACCAGTTTCACAGAGGTCATGGGTTCAACTCTTGCATAGCCCTGAATTCTTTTCCAGACCTTATTTTTACTGCTGCTTCAGAAGTGTTCATTACTGCTAAGATTGCTCTCATGTTCATGTTCTAATTAAATAAGCAAATTGGCAAATCAGATAGAGAACAAATCATCAACCAGGCAATGAGAAGCACTTTAGTGTCCTGACTTACTTTTAATTTCTATTTTTAGTTTAACTTGGAAAGTCTAACAGGCCAGACTGTTATTTTAAATGGATCACAACATTTATCTCTTGATGTCACACAGGTATTTACAAGGTCTGCTTGTTCTACTTGATATTCAGAAAATTAAAAATAACTCAGTCTGTTATTTTAGTATTCCAAACACACCAAACACACACTATACTTTATTTCATGCAAATCATTTTGCCATCTCCACCCGCAAATAGCAAAAGCTAGACGAGGCAGGCGGAGAGGAAAGGTTACAGCAGTCATAACAGATAATATAATAATTGTAAAGTAACTAAATAAACTATCTGGATAAATAAGAACTACTAGTTGGTCATGCTAGATTTTGTTTATTGTGTGCCATTTATGTACTGAGATTTACAGTGTGAAGTACTATCATTTGTGTCTCTGATTGGAAGGGCGATTATTTTCACATTTCTAGCTTTGTACTTTTGTACTTCACAGTGTAAATCGGAAAGTGCTTGAACAGTTTTTATTCTCTCATCGAGTGGCATTAAAAAACCTCTCTTCTTTTGCTGCACTCACTCATTCTTTTTTTTTTGATGCATGGCAACTTGTGAATGAAAATTGTTTGTGCACACTCTCCATGATATAATCTCTGTGTCCCTCAAGAGTAAGTGGTTTGACCTCAGAGTTGAGACTATTAAAATGTCAGTCATTTGTACAGACAAAAGCGCTTCTTGGGACATCTCTTACCTGGATGATCAGAGTACATGTACATGATCAACTGCTGATGCTATTGTGGTGATTGTCAGAAAAAGAGGCAGCTCTTAATTATATTCATGGTTGTTCAGTGTAGCAGCTATTATAACACAGCTAGTAAATTTGTCTAATCAAATTCAATTGCACGAGCTTGCTTCATATTCCTATTGTGTACGCTCATGATGTCAGCAAACAAATCCCTTGAGATAAAAAAAATTTTCCATCAGGTTGAAAATGTTATAAAACAATTGGTTCATACGTCAGCTGTGCATTCATCAAGATATGAAGCACTTGGGAAGTTTGGAGAGCACTCTAGAAGCTAGAGTTGCCCATGGCTACACTTCGAGCAACTCTTACGCATCTTTTGTGCTCTCCAAACTTCCTGCGTGCTTCATATCTTGATGGATGCACAGACATATGAACCAATTGTTAATTGTTCTTTGGGGAACTGTTGGATAATAATTGGTCTGTTGTTTGTCTTAAGATTCTTACTCTCTAATAGCGTAGCAAGCAATTTGTATTTTAGGCGATACAGTACTTTCACTTTTGTAGAGTTGCTTTTCTCAACATGCACTGCAAAGTATTCAAAACTGGACAATATTTTTCTTCAAAAATCAACTTTCACCACTGCATGTGATGAGGCACAGACTTGTTAATCCTTTAATTCCCATGAGTGACCAAACAAGAATTTCTCCTTACATTATCAATACAGTATCAAGCATACAAGTGACAAGAATAAAGAAGAAAGCTCAATTACATGTAGGGAACTACAAGTTGATCCAATATCAAATGCTCCAAATTGACATCATAAGTATTCTATGGCAGACAGTAAGGAGAACTGCTAATGAGATCTCGGGAGTGAAAGTGCTAATTACTTGGAAACGAGTCTTAAAAGTACAAATAAGTGAGTACTATGTTTTTACATGTGAAATTTGTGTTTACAGTCTGTATATGCATCCACAGGGCAGAGGGAAAAAAAGATATGAAATGCATTCAAGGGCAGGTAGCACTGCTGAGGTAATTATAACTGTGCCACTTTAAAATTTGTTCCTTCAAGTTGGGAGCAATGGTTTTCTGTTGTTTTTTTTTATTATTATTTCAAATGTTTGTTTAATTGTTTTTGTGATTTTTCAGCTGTCTTCTTTTACTGTATTGCTGCCATCTTCCAAACGAAAATCTTTTTGTTCAGGTAACAATGATACTATTTAACCTTTTGCACTCTAAAATCAGTTTACATATTCTCCATACTGTTCTGTATGCATTTCTTAAGGTGCTGTTAAGGAGAATTTGTTTAAAAATCAAGCACTTCTTTTGTTGGTGATCATGTCCTTAATTCTCGTGACCGTAATGTTTGATTTAGGGGTAAGATTGTAACGAGAAATTTGAAGCCAGGCACTCTTAGGGGTGAACAGGTTAAATTATCAGACTCCCAAGACAACAAAAAATATTTCTGTCATACTGCCCAATAATAATGGCTCACTTTGCCCCTTCTCTAGTAAAAAAAAGGACTCTATTATACCTAAGAATGACAGTAATGTGTTTAATAGCCTTTTACGACAGTTTCTATTTAAAGTATGGTAGGTTTATGACCTTTGAAATACCACCTGTTTATGGTTTGCCCTAAAT